CTTGACATACTGATAATTCAGATGCATGAGTCTAAATATACTCATATAAATATAGACAGCATGAAAAATATAACTTGGCAGCAAATGCTTTCAGGAAAACCTTAACACAAATTTTTCCTTGCTCATAATTTTTTAAAATGTACAAGTAATGCTTTGTTAAAAACTGAGAGAAAAAATGAAATAAATTAATTCAGAATGTAAGATTTTCTAATAATACACTGAACTTGAACAGGGAATTTATTCCATAATTGCTAAAAAATGAACAATTGTCTAATGTAGATGCATTATCACTTTCTTCCTACTTGAATGCAGCTGCTGCCACAGTTCTAGTGATCACCTATGAAAGAAGGCTGCTTGACAACTTAGGAACTACAGATCTATGTCTACAATTGCCTTATTATAAAGTTGTCCCTTGATTATGACCATAAACTCTATTTACTCTCCCACCAACCAACTGTAAATCCTGCTTCTCTATTTGCATTTGCTCCTATTAGCCTTTATTTATACGAAATTAAGGTTCTTTCCCATACACCATTGGGTTCCTTCCCACTTTGTTCCCAGCCCCTACCCCAGCCCATCAATCCTGCAGTCGTATTTCTACGGTTTGTCTACAGAACAATCCTTCAAATCTTCTCCTAAACCTTTTCATCAGCATGCTACAACCAACAGCTCTCTAGGATGGAAAAAAAAAAAAAAAAGTATTTGGCCTCTCTTTTCCCTCCCCTCCAGTCTAATTTTTCATCAAGTCCAGAAATTTTGCTAAATAATTTTCACCCTAGTCCAACAGGGTCTCTTTCTAGAGTCACAATAAATGCAGCACTGAATTTTAGGGCTTTAGTTCCCACCCTCTGGCTCATCATACACAGGAACTCCATCATCATTTCTCTAATAATTATAATCATGTCACCACCTTTTCCCTGTTGAAAGCTTTCGATGGCTACCCACTACCTACACAGTGAAGAATAAGCTTTAAACCTATAGTAATCAATATGTTTTCTAATTGGACTTTGTTTATTCTTCACCAAAACAGCTGTCTCTTGTTCTTCTAGAGTAAAGTCCACCCATGTGGGACTAACTTCTAACTCTGCTAGTGTTTCTTAACTCTTTCTGTCCTTGACCAGCAGCAATCTTTTACCATTCTTCCTGAAATGGTGTTTATCCTTCAAGGCATTGATCAAATGTGTCTAGCCACTTATCTCCCTATATTTTCCCAGTTAGAATTAAACACAATACTCTCCTCTTCCTCTAACATACTTTAAATTTATAAGAAACAATCAATTCCCAATCTCAGTTCTTAGTTAAATGGTTATAGAGATTAGTTTAAACCTTTTCATGTAACAATCTTTCTTTTTTAAAATTAAATTAACATTGGTCCTCCCTGGTGGCGCAGCGGGTTAAAGCACTGCACTGAGAAAGTAAAGCCACTTCCGCATGAGTTCAATCCCCGCTTGCCCCAGAGGTGACCACATGGCGCGGCAGACCTCTCCTGACCCGCCCGCTGCTCCCCTCAGCAGTGTACTTCATTGATCTGCCTGTTCTGCTTCCCGCTCTGTCTCTGGTGAATCCTCTCACCTTCCGCATCTCTGGCCTGTACCCCAGTTCTGTATGAATAAATAAATAAATCTTAAAAAAAAATTAAATTAACATTGATTTACAACACTGTTTATGATTTAGATGAATGGGTTCATACCTCCTCAGATGTAAGTCACCACATCGCACTCCCACTCCCAAAGTACCTCTAGTTCTTTCCCATACACCATTGGGTTCCTTCCCACTTTGTTCTCAACCCTTACCACAGCCCGTCAATCCTGCAGTCATATTTCTATGGTTTGTCTACATAACAATCTTTCAAATCTCCTCCTAAACCTTTTCTTCATAAGGTAAATTTCCTCAAGATTCAAAGCTAATATTCATAGATACAACTTCCAGAAATGTTCATCACCAAAACTACTCCTTTCTAGAAAACAGTTTAAGCTATCTCTCCAGAGCCAAATACAACACCTCAAACCAGTGATTTTTGCAAGTCATACACACTATTCACCATCCCCCTTGCAAATGTGGACATTCACATGCCTATTAGCAGATTAATAACTCAACATAGCTCTTCAGTTAATAAACTTATTAGTTTTAACTGGTGCAGATATTTAATAAATGTCAAAAAGAAGGAGGTGAAAATTATAAAACAAGGTTGAAAGAGGTTCCAGTCAGAATCAAGTATACAAATACAATCATTTATTTCAGAAGAGAGAGCTACCTTTATAAACATGAAATAAATGGAATCAATTACATAAAAACTCAGACATCATAAATTAAAAAAATTTGAAATAATATTTTTAAATTTTTGTTTAAAGTTTAAACAATCTTTTACTAAATAATCTACCCTATTATAGGAAGTATAAAGAAAATAGGTTGATTGATAATAATTCATTAATAAAAAGGTCATCTATGTGCCATATTCACAATCTTTTTAGTCTGAGATGTCAATATGCTTTTTTAAAGTTAAAATTTCAACAATCAATTCTAAATGTAAATTCAGTTGACTAAATAATACTTAAGAAGAAATTTATTTTGAATTATATAATACTATCTTTCTCTCACTAACTAATATCTTACGTGGAAAATACAGTAGTTCTTAGATTATTGGCATCACACCAATTAAATGAATTATAAAGTCATTCCTTCTAAAGAGTTCTTAAATATTCTTTTCAGTGAGGATGCTGAACGTGCAATATCTATGCAATTCAAAGGAAATTCAGAGACCTTTAAAGAACCAACTTCATAATAAATAGGATAGGAAAGTGAGTTAGAAAACTCATTTTTTTTTTAAACTGCTTTAGAACAGTAGAGACCTTGGTAAATGTGTAACAGTATTTATAGACTGTAACTTATCTGTGTTGCAGACCTTAACTATCTAAGAATTGAGGATCTAGGTGATGTTAGCAGCATACAATGATTCTCCTACAGAATTCTTGACTTTCTCACAAGTAAACACATGAATTCAAAATATCACATTGGCTGAAGTATAAATTGACATATGCACTGTCAATACCGTGCAATTTATTTTTGTAGTGAGATTTTTATTATTTCAAAATGTTGCAATTAAATGAATCACTGTTCAGAAGTCTCCCCTTTTCATACAAAAATACTGTGCTACTGATACAGTTGAAAAAGTTCAAATGGCTTCTCCTGGAGGAGAAATTCACAGCATCATCAGGAAATATGAAATCTGGTCCTGTCCCCACCAGTGGTACCCCCAGGACTGCATACCTGGGGACAGGAAAACTATAATATAATAAAGATGAAACTATCTTTTGACTCAAACTATGTTATTTTAGAACTGTCATGACTTTGTTCATTTAAGACTTTATTTAATGATACTGTAATCTCACGGAAATGAATGATAGAAAAAAATCAAATTTTCTTAATAGGCAAATATGTGAACAGGTACTTCATCAAAGCTCAATAGATGGCAAATAAACACATGAGTAGTTCCTCAACAGATAGCACCTCACTCCTGTGAGTATGGCTCACACTGAAAAGACTGGAAACAATTGCTGGTGAAGATGTGGAAATGAGGATCTTTACTTCACTTTTGGTGGAAATGCAGGTTAGTCCTGTTCTCTGGAAAGCAGTGTGGAGGTGTTGCAAAATGAATAAACTGAGTTACATTGAATAGTATTTAGCAATAAAAAGGAATTGCTGACAAATGGATGAAACTCAATTACAGTATACTAGGTAAAATAAACTAGAGTCAAAAGATTACATCCTGTTAAATATCATTTATATAATAACATAGAGAGACAAAAACTATGTGTTTTTGCCAAGTGTTTGCCAAGGGTTGGTGAGGAAAATGAACTCCTAAGGGGTAGTAGAGAATATGGAAGGTGATGGAACTGCTCTGTATCTTAACTGAAATAACAATTATACAACTCTATGTATTTGTCAAGAACCAGAGAACTGTATACCAAAAAGGATAAATACTATTGTAGGTAAGTTATTCTTCAATAAAAAAAAAAGTCAATCTGATGTTTTGCCTATTTTTTAAAGTTACTGACAATTTATGGAAAAGAAATATCATTCTCTGTGTGTAATCTGTCAAAAAAAAAATACCACACTAGGTCTTTTAAGAGATATTTTTAAAAGAGACATTTTCCCTGACTTTAGAAGCTCTTTAGGAGGGGGGAAAAGCTACAGGAGAGAGAGATAGCGAGAGAAGCGAACAATTATTAGATGCTAAACAATTTTGAGTAGTAGTGAACAGCAAAATACAGTTTATATTTGCTCTTCCAGGAAGAAGCTTGTAGGAAAGTACGTTAACTCCCATAATCCAAAACAGACGCTACGATTAGAGATTGCACTTTTACAATGAGTTCAATCGGGTCTTGGAGAGCAACCGGGTCTTGGAGAGCAAACTCGTGGGAAAAGTTCTGTCGAGCTTTGTGGGGATCTGTTTTTCACGCTGTAAGTGTGCATGGGCCCACTTCTGACCTGTTTAGATTGTAAGTTAGCTGTGAGGCAAGGGGTCAGCACCAGAGACCCTGAAAAAGATCCACACGGAAACAGGAAAGCCAGCGCACTCGAACACACCTCGTCAATTTCATCAAGCCTTGGCCCTAGGGAGAGGAAAGGCCTCTTCCTTGCCTACCAGAAGCTCCCCGTGGACTTTTCTCCGTTTACATTGCCCAATGACAAGGACCAACACAGGGGTGTCCTCGGTCGGCTGGGCTCCGGGTGCAGGGAGGGGTGTGGTGAGTGTAGTGATCGCGCGGTGGTCATTAGGGAGCGCGGGACGAGGAGCGCGGGACGATGGGACAACGGGCACCTTCTGGCCGCGCAAAGTCACTCACCGAAAGCGGCCTGAGTGAAGGGTGAACAAAATCGGGTTGTCTCCTCAACTGACAGCACAAGTGTCGCACGTGGAATTACTTTACCAGACGCTCTCACTCTCCCCTCCCCTCCTTTAACTCCCCCTGCCCGCCCTGCCCGCGCTGTCATCTCACCTCTCCAGTTCTTGTACTCCGCTATATGGTAGTATTTGTTCCCGAACTGGTCCGTACCCACGTGCTCTTTGACTTCCTTTGATAGCGCTCTCCATAAGACGCGGAATAAATCCTGAGACCAACCCATGCTGCCAGTCCAGCTCCCAGCGCGGGTCGCAGCCGGACCGGGTGCTGTCGCAGCTGAAACGCACAAGCTGCTGGTCCCGCCCACCCGCCGGCCCGCCACGCGTCCTTCCTAGTAACGGCGCTCACCATTAGTCGGAGGGCATCACCGCTGGACCAATAGGAGATGCCGCTGTTAGGGCCCCGCCCCCAAGATCTGTCATGGCGGCGTCTGGTATTCTGGCCGGTGTGAAGGGACGGGATGCTACTAGGATTTTTGTCTGCGCGAGTAGCCGGTTTGGAAGACCCTCTTCGCCTCCGGAGAGCGGAGTCCACAAGGAGGTAAAAATAAACTTTTTTTTTCTCTACAGACTAGTTAAAATCTGGACTACTGGCTCTGTTGGTTTTCCCTCACACTTTCCAGCTTTACCAATTTCCTCCCAGCAAAATCGACTTTATTCTATCTACTTTTCGGCTTATGAAAATAAGCGAACTTTATTCTTTCTACTTTTCGGCGCCTTTATGTACTTGCAAGCAGCTCCTTACACACACGGGCACGGCGAAGGCTACTATAAACCTAAATGATAACTTTCGTCTTAACTTTGTTCCTTCTCCCTTAGTTTCCGTCCTTCCTCTCCCTCAAGGAATAATTTCTCCAAGGATTCGTTCATTTATTCATTCAGCTGACATAATTAGTGAACTTCTACTATGTCAAACATTATTCTAAAAGTAGAGCATAGGCCAGAAATTGACAAAAGCTTAGCATGATGAGCAGACAGAAGGGGACATTGACGAGAGATGAAGTTAGAGAAGTAGCAGAGCCTAGATGAGAAAGAACCTGTGTGCTTCGTTAAGAAATATGATGTTGATAATAAGGTGACGACTGTTCATTTTGTCATTTGCTTGCAGAATGAATATGTGGGAGCAAAAGTAGGAGCCAAGTTAACTAACTGTAGTCGCCCAGTAGAGCACTGATGGATGCCTGCACCAGGGAAGTGGCAATAGGACAAATATATGAAATATATGAAAAATATTTAAGAAATTAAGTCAACCAGTCATAGAAATTGATTGCATATAGTGAATGACAAAAAGGGAGGCGTCAACACTCTCATGTGAGTGCTTTATAAGGCAGGATGAATGATAGTGACAGATCTCCCACGAAAGAGAACAAGCTATACTTTTAATTTTGTCCATATTGCTTTCAAGAAACCTCTGAAGGTTTTCACTTTGAAAGTGGAGGACACAGTTACATGCTCAAGGAAATTTTAGATATCTTCAATACAAGATGATATGTGAAGTGCATCGGTGAGATCACCCAGACACCAGTTTGTAGAGTAAGAAGAGAAGGAATTTAATTACAAAACCTCAGGAACATCAACACTTAAAGCTGCACAGAAGATGAGACTGCACATCAACTAAAAAGGAGTAGTAGCTAGAGGAATTAAAGGAAACACAGGGTGCTGTGGATGCTGAGCAGATGGTGTTTTAAGAGGTCGTTGTCCAGTGTGTCAACGGTTGCTCTTGAGTCTCCTTGTCCTTCATGGGTCTCCACATCGTTCGGCTTTATATATTTTATTTATTACTGTGGAAATTGTATATTTTTTACCAACATATTGCATCATAACCCTTGTGAGAAAAAGAACCTGTAGTCCCACTGCCTGAAAAAGGGATTTGGCACCATTTATGTGATTTCACTGGTCTTTATAAACACGAATGGGGTTTGTATTTTATTGGCCTCCCCCTATTCCCACCCCCAGTTGGTGAAAAGCTGGTAGCAATTCCTTGTTAGCTCTGTCATCCACTCTAATAAGCGTGTACATATCTTGCTGTGAGTATCAAAGTTTGCGATCTGCTTTGATTGTATTGCTGGTTTCTGCAGTTCTTTCATATGATTAGCAAAGTAAATAATGGAAAATAAGTTAGCTTACCTATTATCTTTAATTTCAGTGAAAATGGTTGTAATTTTTTTAAAAGAAGCACTTTCTTTTTCCCCTAAAATGCTCAGAAATCATATCAGTAATTTAAATCATGTCAGCTACTGAAGGTCTGAAAAATTGGGTTTCTTGGAGTCTTTTAATTATAGAAAGTCCTTTTTCTGAGGAAGCAACTAATTAGAGCTCTTTGTCAAAATTCTGGGACCTACACCTCTTCATTGGAAGAAATAAGAATTCAAAGTAGGTGCTCCCTTGTGGCACAGAGGGTTAAAGACACCACTGCAAGTGAGCTACAGCCACTTTGGAGTTCCATCCCAGGACTTGGAGGTGATCCACATGGCTAGCAGACCTCTGGGATCTCTCCACTGCTCCCCACAGTGATAAGCAGACAAGCATTGTATCTCGTCAATCCCAGACCTCTGGGATCCCAGACCTCTGGGATCTCTCCACTGCTCCCCACAGTGATAAGCAGACAAGCATTGTATCTCGTCAATCTGCCTATTCTGCTCTTCACTCTGTGTCTAGTGAGTCCTCTCATGGCCTCTACACATCTCGCCTGTACCCTAGTTCTGTATGCATAAATAAATTTTTTTAAAAAAAAAATTTTTTTTTTAAATTCAACATAATGAACTTCTCCTAACCAAATTGCCAGATTAATTCACCTGTTACTAGATTTCCTTGCCTCTGAGCATATTTCTAATACTTCTGGATAGAAGTCTGTGGTTTCCAGTAATCCCATCCAGTAATTCCTGTCATTACTTTGTTTGCTTATCAGAAGTCATTATTAGTCCCTAAACCTATTTTTGCAAGTTTAACTTATTCTAGTTACATATAATTATGCATATACTTATATATGTATATATCCTAGTAAGTCTGTCTAGAAATTTGTCTAGTATGCAAAGAAAATTATTAAAGGCTTCCAATGATAATTTATTCACAGGAGAAAAGATTTACATTAGATAATCTGAGCCTTTCTAGAAACTAGAAAACACTGGAATAATATCTATTAACAATATAAAGGTACTGCAACTCAGGAACCAAACTTAGCCAATCTGCCTGATGAATGAAAGATCTTTGGGCATTTTCTAAGATACCTAGAAATATTTTATTCTGTCTCTTCAAGGAAGATTTACCCAAGGTTCATTAATAAAAGTACAAATGTATTTGAACAATACTCCAAAGTACATAAAAGATGAAAGGAAACAGAGGAGAGCAATGGGCCTTGCAATTTGTGTATTGTTAAATCTCAGTATAGTTGGCCCTTAAACAATTCAGAGCAGGGGGGAGCTAATGTTCTTTGTTGTCAAAAATTTGCTTTTAACTTTTTTTTTTCCTACTGGATATACAGCTGCTTCCATGGCAGTAATTAACTTCACAGAGTCTCATAACCTGACATTTGGAACACTTGAGGGCACTGGCATAGCACTTAAGGGCACTGGCACTTGACATAGCTATCAAATTACTACAGTAGTGTTGTGTGCATAGCAGTTAATCTTACGTAGTTATGATGTAATGTTACATCTTTACATATACATTTCTATCAACTGGAAATGCTACCATATACAGTCTCTGTGTGTATAAACTTTAACTTTATATTTGTGTATATTTTATAGTAGTAAGTGATAAAGTAGACTATTAATCTACATATATTTTATGCGTTCATGACATAACCCAACTTTAAATTTTTTCCATATTTCTAGGCTACATGGTATGCCCTTGAGTTTTTTCAACTTGCTGCTGTATTCAAAGACAGTAGTTATATAAAGTGTAATGTAAGGAAAATTTGATACCAGTGTTAATCAGTAGATAGAAAATACAAATATCTGAAGAAATGAATAAGCAACAAACTATATTTAATAGGCATATATAATGCTAAATGTATTTCAAAAGGAGAATGTACAAGATTTTTCATATATTAATGGCACATTTACCAGAATCACTGTGTCATGTTCACAAAGTAAACGACAACAAATTCGAAGAGGTAGGTATCTTTTAGGTCAGTCTTTGATCCTAGCTAGAGAAAATAATTAAGGAGGACATCACTATCACTGGTAAGCTGAGTTTTGGAAATTAGAAATTACATTCCAAATAATTCTTGAATAAAAGATGAAAATTGAAATTATTAGCTAAGGGCAAAAATAATAACTATTTCTACAACTTATGAGACTCAGAGAAATTTATATTCAAAAAGTGTCACAGCCTAAAAGAAAAATACTGGATGGTTTCACTTATAGGAGGAATATAGAAGATCAAGTTAAAAAACAAAATAAACAGACAACTATAAATCAGAGACATCCTGCAGGAGTCGGGGAGGGAAAGGGAACCAAATGAGGGCAGGGAGAACACAAGGGAGTATGGTGATGGTACATGGGTGAATTGGTGGTGGGAATTCTATGGGATCTACACCTGAGAAAAGAAAGCAAACATTGCACAAAAATGAGCAATGATGTTAAAATACATGTAAATAAATTATATATTAAAAAAAGAAATGTCAATAGCCTAAAATAATAAAAGTATTTTATCTTTGAAGAACATGCATGGATATAATTACTTAGGCATCTTAAGATATGAAAACTACATAAATATTCAAAGTTAAAGCTAAAATTAATAAATAGAAAATTTGAGCAACCATTTGCCATAGAAAAGATAGAAAGTAATTAAATATTTAACAATCAGTGTAGCATGGACCCCATCAATCAAAATGGATATAGGCCTTTAATAACCAGTTTGATGTGTAAAACAGAGGTTGGAAAAATGATTTTTTTAAAAGATTTATTTATTTATGCAAACAGAACTGGGGTGCAGACCAGAGGTACAGGGGTGGTGAGAGGTTTCACCAGAGACAGAGTGGGGAGCAGAACAGGCCGATTGAAGAAGTACACTGCTGAGGGAAGCAGTGGGCAGGTCAGGAGAGGTCTGCCGCGCCATGTGGGTCACCTCTGGGGCAGGTATCAAGCTCATGCTGAAGTGGCTTTAGCTTCTTAGTACTGTGCTTTAACCTGCTGCACCACCAGGGAGGGCCTGGGAAAGTGATTTTGAAAGGCATTAGGTCTTGCTCTTTTCCTTGTCCTTTTCCCCCCCGTTTCCTTTACCTTCTCTCATAGTACTTCTCCTCTTCATTCATTCCTTTCCCCTTAACCCTCTCTGTTGTACCTACCCACTCCCTGATCTCTCCCTTAGGGTTCCTTCCTCTACCTCTGCCCAGAGACCACCCCTGGGTTTGATGATTCTCTAGGAGGACTCAGGAAACATCACATACTTGTACTCAACTACTTGTAACTATTGCTTATAACACTGTTGCTTATAACAATAGTATACAAAGTAAAAACCAGCGGGTAAGGAGAGGCACATGAATGAAATGTGGAGGAAACCAGGCATCAGCTTCCAGGAGTCCTCTGCCAGGAAGTCCCACTGTATGCATATAATATCTTCAGGAGCAAATGATCACAACATAGCTCAACAATCTCTATCAGAAGTTCATTGAAAGCTCAAGAGTTAGGGTTATATTTTGGGGATTGACCACAGAGGTGCTCTCTGCCTAGCATAAGCCCAAAATCCATACTTCTCGAAGGAAAACAAGTATTTATCATAAAGCACATTATTCCAAAATAGTTTAGGCACACAGCTGTTCTTACTCAGAAGTGCTGGGAATTCTCCTGAAATCTCAGAAGCTGAGCAAGGGCCACTCTTGCAAAAAGGGCTTCCTAAGGCTGTTATTGGTGCTAGGCCTCATATGTTAACTCATTTTGCACACTTGATCTCCTTCCACCCTTCTCCCATACTTCACTCCAATTTCCCTATGTTATTACCATCTCCTCCTTTTCATCAACCTTTCTAGTTCCTGAACTATTCAGTCCTAAAGTCTTTAGTTTGGGCAAAAGTAAGCTTCCTAACACAGATGGGGATTAGGTTGGCCTAGAGTGATATTTCAGAGACTGAGCAAATTGAAAAGATATTTCAATTGTAGAAACAGATAAACTCAGGGAATAATTATGTTGGGGGAAGCAAAAGTAAAAGCCCAATCCTGCTGAACAGTATCTTAGTTGGGAATGGGCATGGTAGTAGTGGTGAGAGATTAGTTACATACATGGAGTTGATCAAATATTTTAGTAGTTATTGTGATCACATTTCTCATTATTAGGAGAAGGAAACCCAAGGTAGGGGTGATTATCTTGGCACATGTTCATGTGGTATTTTGTTGCAAGAAGCACATACTGCTATTACAAAGTTCAGATGCCTTTTGTAATTGTTAGCTGTGCTTTTGGTCAAATTACTTGGGTCTTAACTATATAATCAGGAAATATATATATCCAAGAATATAATATATAGGTTAATAAAATAATTGAAAACATATCGTATAGGATTATTACTTATTACCACTGATTACAGTATCAACAAATAGTAGCACCTTAATTATTATTATCTGTTAATGTTACTGATCAAAGTCAAATAGTTAGGTGTTGCCCTGGTAATTTGAACCTAAACTATCTTCCAAGAGCCACAGGGCTGTGCATCTCTTTAAATTAGACACTTAACTGCTGCTAAAATGGCAAAATAATATGCTTAAAATTATTTGCATTATTTACCATCTCCTCCTTTTTCATCAATCTTTCTAGTTCCTGAACAATTCAGTCCTGTTAACATGTGTAAGCTAGCACTTTATAACTCTTCTAACATTTGCGCATTTTTTTTAATAATGGTAATTTGATAGGCTAAAATTTTTCACTTAAATTGGCATCATTTTGATCAATAATGAATTTAGAAATCATCTTGATTCAATTAATGTGAATGCTTTTTAACATCCAACAAAGTAAGACAAATTCTAACAGTTAATATTCACTAAGTACTCACCATTGAAATGAACACTTTTTATGTATTATCTCATGTCATTTTAATAGCTTTACTGAAGTAATGATTTACACTTATGGAAATAAAATACCTTTTCTGTCTGAATTTGTGGGAGTGTTTATTAATCAGTTTCATTTATATATTCTTAATTGAATGTATATAAATGTGCTTAATGGTTGAATTGAACATTGTCATTCTATATGTCCACCTAATTCAACAGAAATATGTCAGAGTTTTTTTGTTTGTTTGTTTTTCATAATTAATATGGGCCTCCCTGGTGGCGCAAAGTGTTAAAGTGCAGCACTGTGACAGTATTGGCAACCATTGCAGGAGTTTGATCACAAGCCAGGGAGGTAACCCACATGGCACAGGGAACCTCTCCTGTCTGGCCCATTGCTCCCCTCAGCAGTGTATTTCAGCTGATCTGCCTGTTCTGATCCCCACTCTGACTCTGGTGAATCCTCTCACCCCCTACACCTCTGGCCTGTACCCCAGTTCTTTTATATGTAAATGAATCTTTAAATAAATGAATACTGTAATTTAAGCTTTTATCCACTAGGTGTCCTCAGTAAAGTTTAACAGAATTTAATTTTACTAATGAAAATTTGCTTTAGTCCCTAGATGATAGCTTAATAAAGGTAGCACAGGGGTTAAAGACATAGTGCTATCAAGCAATCACCAGCCACTGCAAGGAGACTTGGACCCCTGACCAGGAAGGCCAGCATATTTCTCCTGTCTCGGTCAGCTGTTCCCCTCAGCAGTGTTATTTCAGTAGATCCCCCTGTTCTGCTCCCCATTCTGTCTCTGGTGAATCCTCTCACCTCCCTTCACATCTGACCTACACTTGTCTGTGCAAATAAATAAATCTTAAAGAAGAAGTTTAATAAAATAGACTCTTTTTAGGGCCCTCCCTGGTGGCGCAGCCGGTTAAAACACTGCACTAAGAAGCTTAAACCACTTCCACATGAGTTCGATCCCTGCCTGCGCGGGAGGAGGTCCACATGGCGTGGCAGACCTCTCCTGACCCACCCGCTGCTCCCCTCAGCAGTGTACTTCGTAGATCTGCCTGTTCTGCTCCCCACTCTGTCCTTGGTGAATCCTCTCACCCTCCACATCTCTGGCCTGTACCCCAGTTCTGTATGAATAAATAAATCTTTAAAAAAAAAAGACTTTAAATATAATTAATATAATGCTTCAGAAGAACATCTTTAAATATGATTGTTAGTACTGTTGATGTTTTATATTTATATAATGTCTTTAAAAATCTTACTTGCGAGTCTTGTACTATATATAATCTTGATGAAATAGGGATGCTTTATGGAAAATTTCTTTCTTGTTTTATCTGTTCACCCCCTTTCAATTTTGTATTGTTTAAAGGGTTTTGGGACTGGAGTTAAACAAAGACAGAGTTGTTGAAAGGATCCATAGCAGTGGCGTTAACACCCTTGACATCGAACCTGTTGAAGGGAGATAGTAAGTTTTTTATATTCATACAATCATTTTCCTTTCCAAGTGAGAGGCAGTAAAATCTTGCTTTTGGATTATGTAAAGTTTCATCAAAATTAGTAAATTATAACTTAGAGCACTTTAAATCTGGTATTAGTTGATTTCTAATCAATCTAGAATATCAAACCTACAAAATATTACCAAATTTATTTCCAAACTAATGTAAACAGAATCATTGTTAAGTCAACAAATCTTAAATTCTTTTACAGGCAGAGGACTTTTAAGTGATGAGGTACTATTTTAGAAACAGTGCTACTTACAAAAAGTCCAATGGGAAAACAGATATAAAAAACAAAAACACATTTTTGAGAATTCATTTGAAACAAACCAGACTTTTATTTGGTTCCTCCTTATTTTATTACTATTTACCAGTTATATGCCTTGAGCAGTTTACTTTACCTTTTAAAATCTCAGTTGCCTTAATTATACAGTAATGCCTACCTAACAAATTTGCCATGAAGCTCAAGATAATATGTATAAAAAGGCTAACTTTTTAGTGGTGGCATGTCATAAATGGTAGCCACCACTACTATTAATCAAAAGCATTATCACCTGTACTTTTACTCCTTTAGGTCCGTTCTCTGTGTAACAACTGAAGTATTTTGAAAAATGGAAATCTGAACATGGTCTCACATGACTCTTAGAAGAAAATTCAGAACACTTTATGAAATCTATAATTAAAACAAATTTAAAGTAACTAAAAAAAGATTATCATTTCTGTTTTAGCATTTGCTCTAATATAATGAGATCTTATTATTATTTACATTAAAATAAACCCAAGTATGTTTAGAAGAATTCTTTCAGCTTCTGTTGAAAGTTGTGCAAAACCAAGAAATTTCTGAAAATTGCCACATTTTGAACATATTACCAAAAAAGGATGTTCTAAAGTTTTAAAATTTAAATATTCCAAACCATGCTCCCCTTCTAAAACTTATAGAAAATTAATTTTATAGAAAAATGGGTAAAAGAGTAAGATTATAGTAAAATTCCCTATAAATTTTAAGAACAGAGAAAATGATTAGAGAAGTGCCCCAATTGACAATGAAGTGTGCCAGAGAGATATGTTCACAAAACATATGAGGACAATCGCCTAATACTGAAATATTAAATAAAAGTCATTTTGAAAAGATACAATGAACAGAAAAATGAAAGAACGACATCAGTTGGGATTAGAAAACCTCAGTAATGAAGAGGTCATACTGAAGAAGATTTAGAAATAAGAAAATATTTCAGAAATAAAGATCAAAGCATAAGGAACACAGCAAATTTATAGGTTTGTCTTTCCTACTACATTGTAAACTTTAGGAAGACAGGAGCCATGCCTTTCTACATTAATAATGTAGGTGCTCCATTTTTCGCAAGTACATTCATAATAGAGGGTAACTTTTTTTTTTTTTTTTTGCCAGATAGTATAAAAGACAAGGACACTTTGCATTTAAACTTTATGTTTACATGAACTTTATGATTTAGGTAAAATGTCCCCTTTTCACATCTGCTGAAAAGTATGGAGAAGTGAAGTAACCTGCCCAGGAATCAGTACTAGCTGTTCTGTCTGATCCCATTTTCATTTAGCACAATTACAATTCGTACATTTAAAATAACTTTGTAGTATTCTACTTTCTTAAAAAATGTCTTTTGCCATTCTTGTTTCTACTGGCCTTTCTTGGGATCATGAAAATTTTATATTGTCATAAAATGAATATGTAATTTTTCTATGCCTGTTAAATTAAGATATTTTAGTTGTTAGCAATCTCTGAAGATTTACTTCGTATTTGTGGGCACAATGCATTTGGGTGTTTGCAGATAATTAATATTCAGAAATATATAAATCACCATAAATGAATTACATAAAGTGATAAGTTAACATGAACTTTTTTTATCAGTATGTTGTCAGGTGGTTCAGATGGTGTGATTGTACTTTATGATCTTGAAAACTCCAGCAGACAACCTTATTACACATGTAAAGCAGTGTGTTCCGTTGGCAGGTGTGTATTAATGTAATTCATGAATTTATAAACAGTTAAGTTTTGCATTCAATACAAAACATGAAAATTGCAGTCATATGAGTATCTCAAACTGTTCAAATGGTATGTTCAAATGGTTTTGTGTCTATTTCTTGAAATTCTCTTGAAAATAAGTGAAACTCAGGTATTGCTGCTTTTAACATGATTTTCCAAAAACAACATTGGTACCGCTTTCAAAGGGTTTTATCTTCAAATGTTTAATTTTATCCTACAACGACTTAGTGCACCATATAA